CTGCCAAAAGCCGCCTGACCAGGCTCTGCAATGTGATTCAGGTGGAGGGGGGAAGTGCTGTCAGACTCCAGGGACCCTTACCCTCAGCTCCCTCTTGCTCCTCTAGGTGGACCCTTGGGTTTCTTGCCTCCTCCCAGCACCTGCTTGTCTGGCCCATCCCAGGAAGGGGTGGGCTCAGGGCCACTGTCCCAGAGGCGCTGGTGGAAGGGCTCTAGGCGTTGGCGCTGTAGCTCAGTCAGGGCCCGTGACACATCACCTCCATGCTGGAACAATGCCTGGAGAGACCCCTCCTCAGGCCCAAAGCCTAGAGACTGGAGCTCCTGCACCTGCAAGATGGGAGTGGTGAGAGGGAGTGAAGTGGGAAAGCAAGCAAGGGAGAATGTGAGAGATGCAGACTCTCGACCCTATCCCATATCCAGCACAGCTGATACCTTCCTTCGCCTGGTCCTCACACATTCCTCCACAGCTTCATCAAGGTTGCCATGACGATCCAGCCAGGCTTTCCGGGCCTCCTGACAGGAAAAGGCACCCAGCCCAGGGTCCTGCTGTCCAGCCAGCTCAGCCACCATCTCCAGCACGTAGGGCAGTTCTGAGCGCAACCACTGCAGAGGCACCTCAGTGCCCGAGTACTGCAGAGCCGAGAAGATCTCCTCTGGACAGGCACCTGCGGCTTCCCCTTCCTAAGGCACAGTCCTGCCCATCAGGCCCATCAGGTGGGGCACACCCTTCACCCACCCTCAGCCTGATCTAAGATGGTGACAGTGGCTCAGCTCAGACATATGGATCATGTCATCAGTGCACAGCATGGTAACTGCCTCAGTAACAAGGAGCTGCTGCTAACAATGACAAGGTTCATAGAAACTATTAACCACCTGCAGCATCTCCTTTCCCACACCAGCTCAGCCCTACCTCATCCCAAGCCCAATCCTTACCCGGATCATGCTCACTAGCTGGAGGCCTTCCTCCCGCATCTTGTCTTGGCGCTGCTTCCCAGGGTCTCCACAGGAACTGGGCAGGGAGGCACTAAGGCGTTGTGGGGGCCCAAGCTTAGGGGGACCCTTTTCCAAAGAGCTGGCATAGGGCCGGGGGGCACGTTGTACTGGAATGGGGCTACTAGTCCGGTTGCACATTATACACACCCAGCCAGGGCTCGAGTTGCAGAAGGTACAGTGAATACAGTACCAGACATGACTCTGGGCAGAGGCCAGCAAAGTATCCCCCTGCTGGGAAGGCAGAGAGAATTATCCCTTTGACTGGCTGGCTGAGGTTCACAACAGAAATACAGGGAGTTGGGAGGAAGTGAAGGAAAACATGGGATAGAAAAGAAGAGAATGACTTGAGGTAACACACAATAAAGAGCTGGGAAGGCCAGGAACAGGTTACCTGAAGGGGTTGCAGGCAAATGCCAGCATCTCGGGAATCCACCACCAAGCTGGGAGGCTGGGCCAGCCGAGGTCGCTCACATATGGAACACAGCACAGCTGCTGCCTCATTCTCAAAGGTACAGCTCTGGCAGGCCCACCGATCCCTTGCAAGATCAGGTTCTAGGCCTCCAGTTCCTTGGGCACCCTCAGTTCCCAACCCCAACCCCTTACAGCCTCGGGGCCGATCACAGGCCACACAGAGCACTGCCCAAGGCTCATTTAGCATGGCACAGGCAGCACAGTGCCAGGGCAAACGAGCACTTGCAGGATTAGGGGAAGAAAGAGAGCTGTCCCCCAGTGCCAGCAGGGAGGTCGACTGGGGCCGTGGTTGGGCTGAGGCAGGTAAACTGTAATGGAAAAGCAGACATGGCCTACTGAAGTGGCACCTGGTGCCTGGATCCCTCACCTCTAAGCATTCCCCATTTCCTGGGTAACAACACATGTCTCTGGCCTTTGCACACATTGTCCCTGTCTCGAACACTCCTATACCCATAGCCTATGCAACATTTAAATGACAGTTTAAAGCTCACTTCTTCCTAGTAGACACTGCTAATACATGGCCTGACCTACACTAGATGTTTAAAATATTGCCACCTGATTCAGCTGACCCTTCAGACTAGGTTGCAAACCACCTACTACCATAACAACCGGGGTTACTATAATTGCTACTTGTTTGATGTATATGTCTATTATCCCCTTCAGGGTTCTGAATGGCTACTTCTCCTCTATTAAACAGTCTTTAGCACAGAAACTGGCAGGTAGTCCATAACCAAGTGATCTTAAGTTCTCTAAATTTCACTCACCCAGAAGAGAAACTCTCTCACCTGGGGCTTAGGTGGGTACCCTGGAGGACCCCAGGCAGGGTCTGGCGGAGGTGATGAGCACGGGATGGGTGTCCATGGAACAGGTGGTCACAGGCTGGACACAGGGCCTGTTTACAGGATGGGCAGTGCAGTGTGCCTGGGGCAGAACCACAGAGGAAGCAGGGACCAGGAGTGGAGCCTGGAGAGCAGGAGAGATAGAACATCTTTCCAAAAAAGACCAAGTTACATTTGAATCTGCTGTGGATGGGGGCAAATCACAAGACTACTTTTTAACACATCTGGCCCAAGGAAACAATTTTAATCTCTTTTAAAAAACAAAGAGGCCGGACACGGTGGTTCATGCCAGTAATCCCAACAATTTGGGAGGCTGAGGCGGGTGGATCACCTGAGGTCGGGAGTTCCAGACCAGCCTGACCAACATGGAGAAACCCTGTATCTACCAAAAATACAAAATTAGCCGAGTGTGGTGGTGCATGCCTGTAATCCCAGCTACCTGGGAGGCTGAGGCAGGAGAATCGCTTGAACCCGGGAGGCGGAGGTTGCGGTGAGTGGAGATCGCACCATTGCACTCCAGCCTGGGCAACAAGAGCAAAACTCTGTCTCAAAACAAACAAACAAACACAAAGGAAGATAACCAAGAAGGCAGAGGAGCATCCCAAATTTCCATCAATATAGCTTCCTACTTGGTCCCCAATTTAGGACCAATAATACCTGGGGCAGAGGGTGTGGTGAGGGGGCCAGGAGCAATCTCTCTCAATAGGGGGTCAAATTCTGAAAGCTGTAGCATCTGAAAAAGAAAGGGCAGGGAATGAACAAGGGTTTAGGGATACAGAGTCCCACAATTCCGGTTCCCTTTGTACACCAGCCCCTTTCCTGCCTTCCTTACATCATCTTCAACCTTGTCTTCCAACAGCTGCTCCAGTGCCTGCTGTCTTGGATGAGTATTCTGCAATAATACAGATAAAAACGGTTTCCACCTAGACCCCTAGAACAAAGCCCTCCCTCTAAGCCCTGGTCCCTTAACATTCACAGAGGGAAAATCAGTACCCGGAGCTCCCAGAATGCTGAACTACGCCCATAGTTCAGCAGCACAGGGGTCCTCAGACTTACTTGAGTTAGGCTGGGCTCCCCAGCCCTGGTGCATAAGTCCATCAAGACTAGAGGAGCATCTCACCTGCAATAGCAGGCTGAGCTCTGTCCGAAGCAGCAGTACTTCCAGTGTGACTGTAGCAACCTGGTGCTCATTTGGCTCCTCTTGCCCTTCGGGGAAGCTCAACCCATCTGGCTGCTCCTCTGTATAGCCATATAATCGCAGCACATCTCGGCCCCCCTGCCACACATTCACAACCAGTCACCACCCAGGAGGCTTCCTGCCTAGTAGGGCTGGACCCCTCCCCATTCAGCACAATCTCAGACCTTTTCTAGCCAAACCCCAGCCCAGACCCAGCCCCCTCTCCCATAAGGCCAGGGGATTCACCTGCACAGCATCCACCGTGCTGCGAAAGACAGGGTTATTAAACTTGACGCCGCGCCAGTACCGGGGCCGCTGAGGGCTGAGAAGGTTGCGGCCATATTTCTCCAGGATGTTCAGGGCCGTGGACAGGGTACTGAGGTAGTTTCGGGGCTGGGAGCAATGAGAGCAGAGAGTTGTAAGCGTAGCCCGGGCCTCAGGCCCTGGTGCCCCCTTCCAAGCGGGGCCGGGCCTCACCTCCCCATGGGCGTTGCAGCGGACCAGGCGTGCGGCGTCCAGCTGCAGGTAGCGGGCGGTTGGCGGCAGAGAGCTGGCTAGCAGCGGCCGGAGCTGCTCCAGGGAAAACGCCTGCCCGGAATCCCTCCTCAGGGCGCTCGCCAGCTCCTCGCGGGCCACCAGGAAGGCCCGCTCCTCTTCCTCCCCCGGCATCCTGAGAAAGGAGTCAGCCCCAAGCCTTGCCGCCCGCCGGGACCCGGCGCGGGCAGCGCGCGGCCCAAGCGCCGCCCCTCCCGTCTGGTGCCCGGCTTTGAGGCCCACCCCGGCCCGCGCAGCCGCCCCGGGTCACTCAGACCACGGTCATTCTCCAGCCCCCGGCCAAGCGCCAGGGTTAGCCGAGAACAGGAAGTACTAGGAAAGAGGGCGGGACAGCGACCCAATTTCAGAGGAACGGGCGGGGCTTAAGGTTAAGCTGGGAGCGAGTGTCCCGAAACCAGGGGGCGTGGCCAAGAGGGAGGGCCAGGTCCCAAGCAATGAGAAGGCAAATGGCTCCTGGCTCCTCCCTCAGCGCGCCCCAGCATCTTCCCTCAGTCAAGCGCTCTTCCCCGCCTTCCTCCAGTCTGGTTCCACCCCTTCCGGATAGCCCCAGGCGCGGGGTTATCCTATTCAGCTCAAAACCTTCCTTTTTCTAGCTGGACCAGTCCGCTACGCTCCAGGCCTCACCGGGGAAGTCCCACCCTGCAGGGGAACCGACTCTGGCCGACCCTAGCCCCTCTTGAGCGAGTCCCGCCCCATCTCCGGTCTGTCCTGAAGGCTGAGGGAAGACCTCACCCAGCCCCTGCCCTCTCCCTTCTAAGGGCGGCTAGCCCTTCTCCACCCCAGGCGCTCCCTCTGGCTGCCCCTCCTACTCGCTCTCATCTCTCTCCGTCCGCTGTTTGCGGTCGAGACTTCTTGGGGGAGCCCCGCCACTGGATACCCCCTTTGCCATACTCCCACCTCTCTTACCCCGACCCTGGACTTCTCGTGGGCCCTAGCTATAAGCCCCGCCCCTCTCCAAGGGACAGCCCCCGCTCCAGTCTCCGCGGCCCCACTCACCCCAGCCCCTCCCTCGGGCAGCCCCTGGGCTTGTGACCCAGCCAGCACCGCCTCTCCTAGTGGCAACTGGCTGGGAATGGCTGAGGGGCTACCTACTGCTTGCGGCCTGCCGGGGGAGGAGGGAGGCGGAAAGAAGAAAGGGGGCGGGGTTGGGGGGGCGGGCCTGGACCTGGGGAGTGAAAGCGAAAGCCCGGGCGACTAGCCGGGAGACCAGAGAGCTAGCGACTGAAGCAGCATGGCCAAGCCGTGTGGGGTGCGCCTGAGCGGGGAAGCCCGCAAACAGGTAATGGTGAATCGGAGGCCAGGAAGGGGTCATAGAGCCCTCTTGGGGGGAGGCCAAGCTGGGTGGTTCAGAGGACCAAAGCAGTGCCAGATAACTCCCCCAATCTTGCTAGTGCCTTCACTTCTCGGGGATTCCCAGATTCCTGCCCTCTGACTGCAGTGAGTAGGAGCTTCCAGGGGAAACTGGCTTGTGGTGAGAAAGGCCTGAGCCACAGTTGGAGGGCACCCTGTTGTGGGTGGAAGCTTTTGACAACCCAGACCCTTAACCAACATCCGGGTACTACTCTCTGTGTAGGTGGAGGTCTTCAGGCAGAATCTTTTCCAGGAGGTAAGTCTCTGGATTTCAGCGATTTGACCCAGAATCTTAGACCAATACTTGAGGATAACAACCTCTCCTAATGACCCCCCCAAGTCACCCTAGACTTAACCCTACTTCCCTTACCAAGCCTTCACCCAAAGTAACCCCGGAATTATTGATAGCTACCTTTAATCTGACCTTTCTTATGACTCTCCCCACTTCTGGCACTTCTCCCCTCTTTTGATGTGGAGGAAAAAATCCATGGCTCCCAAAGCAGGAATAGCACAGTCCTAACCTTAGTTCTGCCACTTACCAGCTTGGGCAAGTCCTTTCATTTTCAGGTCTTCAGTTTCCTCATTTACAAGTCTTGGACCCAGTGATTTCCAAAGGCCCTTCCAGTTCCATTTGTCAGACATCTCATTGAGCATATTCTGTGATTCCCCTCCCTTGCAATGTAACCCACAGGCCGAGGAATTCCTCTACAGATTCTTGCCACAGAAAATCATATACCTGAATCAGCTCTTGCAAGTGAGTAGTGTGGCCCCCTCCTGCCCCTTCCCATGTCCTCTCTCCCCTTTGCCCATCCTCTCTAGCTAACAACTGGATTCAGCATGCAGAGAATAGTTTCAAGTAGTGGACTGGGAATATTAGGATGGCGTGAGGCATGAGCCTAGGTTGGGAGGCAGAGGGCAAGTGGGATGTATGGAGGGAAGGCTGTGACCTAGGATGACGGGAAGAGACTGGGCAGCCCCTGACAGTGAGCTCTGTGCAGGAGGACTCCCTCAATGTGGCTGACCTGACTTCCCTCCGGGCCCCACTGGACATCCCCATCCCAGACCCTCCACCCAAGGATGATGAGGTGAGGCATTCAGGGTGCAGGACTTGGACTATAAACCCAATGGAGATGATAGCCCTTCAACCTCTGTGACTTTTCCAAAGCTACTTTCCCCCTTTTTTGTCTTAGATGGAAACAGATAAGCAGGAGAAGAAAGAAGGTAAGAGAGATAAGAGGTGACTAGGGAAGGGGAGATGGCACATTGGCTGCTGGATGAGAAAGGGCCTGAATCCCCTCTTTCTCACAGTCCCTAAGTGTGGATTTCTCCCTGGGAATGAGAAAGTCCTGTCCCTGCTTGCCCTGGTTAAGCCAGAAGTCTGGACTCTCAAAGAGAAATGCATTCTGGTAAGCCTGGAAAATGGGGGAGGTGGAAAGAGAAGATACACAAAGTGAGGCCCTGGACTCCTCCATAGATACAAGTCCTTCATACAGAGACCTAGTCCTGAAAAAGAAAACTTCCTTCTGTGCCTTGGGCTTAGATCTCCTTTGTTCTCATTCTGTTAGACCTCTCTTATCACAACGGTACCCCCAAAATTAGAGACTGTGCAGTATCCACTCTGTAACCTCAGAACCTACTGCTCTATCGGGTTCATAGTAGAGGTGGCATGATATAGTGAGTGAATTGTTTTAAAAGATTGGACCCTAGAGAGAGACTGCTTAGGTTCAAATCATGATTCTATCAGTTACCTAGCTGGTAACCTTAAGTAAGTCACTTAGACATTCTGTGACTCAGTTTTTTCATGTTAAATGGATACAATAAATATGTGTCTCTGATGGTTGCTGTGATGATTAAATGAAATAAATACATGACACAGCGCTGGTGTGTAATAAGTACCCAATTAAATATAACAATTTTTTAGTAAGTGACAATAATAGGAAGAACTCAGTATGTTTGTTGAATGATTCTTACATGATACCTCTTAACACAGGTGATTACATGGATCCAGCACCTGATCCCCAAGATTGAAGATGGAAATGATTTTGGGGTAGCAATCCAGGTAAGAAAAGGGTAACTGAAGACACTTAGAGTGGGGAGAGCCTCGGAGGTTGAGCTAGACATGAACCAGAAGGAGGAGGAAGATAGTGTATGAAATGGGGAGGACATGAAGTGTTGTCTTTGCCTCCCGTGTCACCACAGGAGAAGGTGCTGGAGAGGGTGAATGCCGTCAAGACCAAAGTGGAAGCTTTCCAGACAACCATTTCCAAGTGAGGGCAGCTGGAAGACCAGCATTGGGGGCAGTAGGAGCATTTCTTTGGGACCCCCAAAGCTAGGCATCAGGATGATGGGAGACTTTGGGAAGGGTCTGAGGGAGTACATCTCCCTGAACACTCATTCCTGTGGTATTTCCTTGCTTCTGGCAGGTACTTCTCAGAACGTGGGGATGCTGTGGCCAAGGCCTCCAAGGAGACTCATGTAGTGAGTGGATAGTCCACCAGCCTTTTAGCTGGGGGTGGGACGAGGAGGTGTGGAGAAAGAGGTCCTCCTTGTCTTGTTTTTGACTTTCCCAATGTGTAGAATATTTAGCTAAAAGCATTGCCTAGAAAAACCGATTAGGGCTTCAACGACTTTGACCCTTTTCTCTGCTCAGTCCCTTGGGATCCTATTTCTTGGTGCTAAGAAGGGGTTCATTCTCAAGTTAACTTATTTCCTATAAAAGGAAACCAGACTCATGTCCCAGCCTCCCATGGGACTGACACAGCTTTGCCTCCCACACTGCAGATGGATTACCGGGCCTTGGTGCATGAGCGAGATGAGGCAGCCTATGGGGAGCTCAGGGCCATGGTGCTGGACCTGAGGGCCTTCTATGTGAGTCTGGAGTAAGGCCTTAGGGGAGGTGGATGAGTAGGGGCGGGCAGGGGATTGGCTAAGAACCTGACTCTTGCACTCTGGCCTTCTCCCAGGCCGAGCTTTATCATATCATCAGCAGCAACCTGGAGAAAATTGTCAACCCAAAGGGTGAAGAGAAGCCATCTATGTACTGAACCCAGGACTAGAAGGAAAATAAATGATCTATATGTTGTATGGATTCCCTTCCTGCATGTGTCATTCATTCAAAAAGCATTTATTGAGGTGGCACCTATGTCCAGACTGAAGATGAATGTGGTGGGAAGGGGTGGGTGTCATGACTTAGATGCCCACTGTAATCTTTTTTTTTTTTTTGAGATGGAGTCTCACTTTGTCGCCCAGGCTGGAGTGCAGTGGCACGATCTCGGCTCACTGCAAGCTCTGCCTCCTGGGTTCACGCCATTCTCCTGCCTCAGCCTCCCGAGTAGCTGGAATTAAGGCGTGCACCACCACACCTGGCTAAGTTTTTGTATTTTTAGTAGAGACGGGGTTTTGCTATGTTGGCCAGGCTGGTCTTGAACTCCTCCTCAGGTGATCCACGAGCTTCAGCCTCCCAAAGTGCTGGAATTACAGGCGTGACCACTGTGCCCAGCCAGCCCACTGTAATCTTAAGAGGTCCTCCAAAGGAACAGGGTGGGGATTGTTACATGCCATGACAGCCATGCAGATAACCTGTATTTTGGAATGTAACAGTATTATTTTCATCCAGAGGTCTCAGGAATTAGTGGAAGAGATGGCATTTGCAAAGAGCCCTTATGGGAATAATAAGGCTTTGGATAGACAAGGGGAAAGTTCTGTGGCCAACATCAGGAATGAAGAAAGAAGGAATCCTTATCAGTTTAGGAAAAGGCTAGAAGGAGAATGAGGTTTCACTGGGAGAACTATAGAGAACTATGGATGAATGATTGGACTCCTTTTTTTTTTTTTTTTTTTTGAGATGGAGTCTTGCTGTGTCGCCCAGGTTGGAGTACAATGGCATGATCTTGGCTTACTGCAACCTCCGTCTCCCGGGTTCAAGCAATTCTCCTGCCTCAGCCTCTCGAGTAGCTGGGAGTACAGGCGTGTGCCACCACACCTGGCTAAGTTTTTGTATTTTTAGTAGAGACGGGGTTTTGCTATGTTGGCCAGGCTGGTCTTGAACTCCTGACCTCAGGTGATCCACCCACCTCGGTCTCACAAAGTGCTGGCACTGCAAGGCGTGAACCACTGCTCCTGACCTGGACTTCTTCTTAAGGGCTGGGAGGGAAAAAAATAATGCTTCCAAGGCATTGTGGTGAAGGAAATACACCGCAGGACGTTATGGGAAAGATTCATCTGTAAGTTTTTCTTACTGTCCTCCCCTACACCCCCTTCAGCCAATCACTGTCTTTATCTCTGCTTTTCAAGATTCAGCCCTGGGCTGAAGACAAGGGTTCCTTTGCTGTGATCTTGCTATAAACTCCATGGGATTGTTCTTTAATTCAGGGCCTTATCCTGTCATAAAATATGAGATAAGAACGTGCTGCGAAGCACTGGACAGGCTGGAAGCCTGCCCCCATACATATCTCATTAAAACCTTAAAGGAACATGGGCAAAAGATAAACCAAGGGCAAGAAAACCTGCAGTCGCGAAGGTAACACGGATCATTAGTGACAGAGCCGATCTAGAGTACAGATCCACTCGTCCCATAATAGGCGCAAGGCGGTCTGCTTTGCCCGCAGCCCTTCGGAACACCCGGCTACGGGTTAGCGCTCCATCCCCGGGGCTCCGCGGAGCCGGTGGTGGTGGGCAACACGGGTTAACAGGCAAAGCCAACCAGCAACGAGAGCGGAAGTCGGGGAACCTAGCCAATAAGAGTGCGGGCAATTTTCTTTGCTTCACAATGGTGGGTTCTTTGCAGTCCGCTGGAGACAAAGGCGGGGCAAAGTTGGGGTGCGGCCGCTGATTGGACAAATTGAAAGCCTTTAGCCCTATCAAGGAGCACCACGTGGGCGGGACTTCAGGTGCCAGTTCTGCAGGGAGCTGCAGCTTGCCCTGTCTCCCAGGCAGGCGCTGAGTCGCAACCGCCAGCTAGGGGCTCGGGAAGGCGGGGCTCGGATGCAATCGGGACCTCCTCCTGGGCTGGGCTTCGGGCGGACTCCCGGACCCCGGGCGCCGGGAGCCGGCGGGCTACCTGCGAGTCGAGTTAGCGTTGTAGCCGAACCGAAGTGAGAGGGCACCGGGAAGGGTCAAAGAGGGTGCCGAAGCGCTGGAAGGAGCTTCACGGACGCGAGCTAGGCACCGGCTCGCCTAATTCGGCACTAATCCGGCTTGCTGCTTCCCGGCCAGGCCCCGCTCGCCATGGGGGAGGTGGAGATCTCGGCCCTGGCCTACGTGAAGATGTGCCTGCATGCTGCCCGGTACCCACACGCCGCAGTCAACGGGCTGTTTCTGGCGCCAGCGCCGCGGTCCGGAGAATGCCTGTGCCTCATCGACTGTGTGCCCCTCTTCCACAGCCACCTGGCCCTGTCCGTCATGTTGGAGGTCGCCCTCAACCAGGTGCCTCCGTTGGATGCCCATCCCCCACCGCGAACCCACCCAACACCCCAGCCCAAGTTAATCCCCGGTCGCTTGGCAGCAGTGCGCATCCACAAAGCCAGCGGCACAATTTAATTACTGATGGCCCCTTTCCCACGACAGGTGGATGTGTGGGGAGCACAGGCCGGTCTGGTGGTGGCTGGTTACTACCATGCCAATGCAGCTGTGGACGACCAGAGGTGAGTGGCGTAGCCAGAGGAAGAAGGAAAGGATTATGGGGGGTTGCGGGTTGGAGGAATAGAGGGCGAGGATGCGTGGGGCATTGGGTAGAGGGGGGCGCACAAGATGAACCAAGGTCATTCCTTCTATCTTTCCTTCATCAAACGCTTAGGAGCAGGGGTTTTACACCAGGCACTATGCTGGGTACTGGAGTGAGGAAATATAAAGATGAATAGGACAGAGCCCTGCTCTGGAGTGCCGTTTCGGCGGGGAGGACAACTGTGTATCAACAGACTGATTTTGTTTTTTTTTTTTTTTGAGACAGAGTCTCGTTCTGTCGCCCAGGCTGGAGTGCAGTGGCGCAATCTCTGCTCACTGCAACCTCCACCTCCTGGATTCAGGATTCTTCTGCCTCAGCCTCTCGAGTAGCTGGGATCACAGATGAGCGCCACCATGCCTGGCTTTTTTTAATTATTATTTTTATTTTTTTGTTTTTAGTAGAGATGGGGTTTCGCCATGTTGGCCAGGCTGGTCTAGAACTTGACCTCAGGTGATCCACGAGCTTCAGCCTCCCAAAGTGCTGGGATTACAGGCGTGAGCCACCACTCCTGGCCAACAGACTGATCTTGCTTTAACTGAGGTGTCCCCCAGGTGCTGAAAGAACAGAGAAATCCCAACCAGCAACTTCAAAAATAAGGCAGTTTCCTTATATATATAGGAAAAGACAATTATATATATATATAAATCATATACATGAAGCAGATTAGAGATACTGTTTTGTAATTTGCGTTTCTCCCTCACTTAATAAATACTTGACATCATCCCATTTCCACAGCAAGATCTACCTTTCCCTAACAACTGTATAGTCTGAATATGGATGTACTATGATTTATTTAATGCTTCAAACATTGAGGTTGTTTCCAATGTTTTATTACAGACACTGTCCTATTATTACCGTAAATTCTTTATAAGTAGAATTTCTGGGTTAGCATATGTATAGTATGTAGTATGTATACAGTTTCAATTTGGATGGTTATGCCAAATTACCTTCCAAAAAGACCACCTTTGGTTTCCACTCTCACCAGCAGTATCTGAGCACCTGTTTCCCACAGCACTCAAGCATCAAGCAGTCGTACATCAAGCATCCAGCAGGCCCGATCCCCGCAGGCCACCTACAGGGAAAGGCCACAGCTGCGCCCACATCTATGAGACCTGGGAGGCCCAGCTCAAATGGATGGGTTTTGCCCACAGTTGGCTCCTCATTCCTCTGATCTTCCCTCTACACAGCCCTGGGCCCCTGGCCTTGAAAATTGCTGGGCGAATTGCAGAATTCTTCCCTGATGCAGTACTTATTATGGTGAGACTTGGGTTTCTGGGTGGGGAGGTGAAAAGAAAGTAGGGTGGGGGGACCCTTGAAACTCTCACTTGCCCTTCTTTGTCCACTCAGTTGGATAATCAGAAACTGGTGCCTCAGCCTCGTGTGCCCCCGGTCATCGTCCTGGAGAACCAAGGTCTCCGCTGGGTCCCTAAGGATAAGAACTTGTGAGTACCCCACTCCCTCTCTCTCTTCTTAGAAGCCCAAGATTCCTGGGTCTCCTCTGTCCTTGGCCCTGCCCCAAGGGTCTTTCTCTAGACCCAATCTCTGTCAAGTCTGTGTCTGGCCCCACTACTTGCTGTTTGACCTCCATGGGGGTTGCTATTTCAGAGTCATGTGGAGGGACTGGGAAGAGTCACGGCAGATGGTGGGAGCTCTACTGGAAGATCGGGCCCACCAGCACCTTGTGGACTTTGACTGCCACCTTGACGACATCCGGCAGGACTGGACCAACCAGTGGCTCAACACTCAAATCACCCAGTGGGTTGGTCCCACTAATGGAAATGGAAATGCCTGAGCCAGGGCCAGCAGGGTCCAGATCCAATAAAGAGACTTGGGCTGATGGGCAGTGGTATAACTATATTTATTGTGCCTGGGAGGCAAGATGAGGGAAAAATCTCAACAGAAGCAAGTTTGGGGAAAATCTGGAGTCCCCAGTAAAAAGTAGGAAGGTCTCTGCTGTACCCATCCCAGAATGGGAGAGAGGGCTCTCAATAGATCATTCCCTTTGTTTCTCCCCTGGGCTTCTTGAGCTTCTCGAAGTTCTTCAGGATGATGTCATATAACACAGCCTACAGGGCCAGGGAGGAGTGGAGGTCAGTCAGAGGCCTCCAGTGGCTCTGTGCCCCATTTCTAGCCTTGTGGAGAAGCTGCGCTTTGTCACCCTTTACCCCCAGCCTGCAGGGTCAGGGAGTGCGTGGCCTGGGAAAGCTGCCTCTGCCCACCCCTGCCCTCGCCTCCTCACATAAGCATTGCGGATCTCCATGACCATCAGCCGGATGTCCCGGTACTCTGCCTCATCCAGCTCGTGCACCAGCTGCCGATAATCACCCTGTGGGAAGCTTGGGTCAGGCCTGACCTTACATGAGTCCTTCCCTCATGCACCCTGACCTGGGCCTCACCTACCACATGGGGCTGCTTGGCTGCTTTAGTCACTGCATCACCACGCTCAGAGAAATACCTGTGGAAGGAGAAGTGTGTATGGAGTAGAAGAAGAAGGAGGTCTCTGTCCCAAAACTGACAGTGTGTACATGGGTGGTCACTCACTTAGAGATTTGGGTGTGGAAGCCTTCTAGCTTAGTGTGGAGGCTGGTCATCAGCTCAAACACCTTCTCCTAGGGAAAAAAAGCAAGGGGGAAAGTAGAAGGAAGCATGGACTAGAAAAGAGCAGGGAAGTGGGGCAGCGCTCTCACCTGGACAGCCACTCCAAAATTGTTACCATCCTCAATCCGAGGTATCTGCAGCTGCAACCAGGTGGTGACCTGGGAAGAGGGAATGGCGTAATGCCACATCAGCCCTCTATCCAATTCCGTTTCATATTCTCCCTTGCTTCCCTCCCCACACTGGGTGGAGGCATGCCAGGTCTCTCCTGAGCCTCAGAGCCCGGACTTCTGGTTTCACTTGCTGTGCCCTCTCTTGCTAAAACCTGGCATGTGCCAGGCCCTAAATGGCAGGGACTAAGAGGACAATGGTTTGACTTAAAGCCTGAGAGTTGAAGGGGGAGGGCCTACCAGGTTGAGCTGCTCAATGACATCCTTGATCTCAGGCTTCAAGCGCTGCAGAAGGACCAAGATCTTTTCATTGCAGTTCACTGGGCCACAGGGAGGACCTAGAGAGTGAGCAATGGGTCAGTCACATGATTGAGCCTGTGTGAGGGTTGAAGGGGAGAGTAGAAAGAAATCCCTAGGAGGAGCTCCTGTGGGTGGGACTCAAGTCTCTTCCCACAATTGTGGTTTCAAGTACCTTTGTCTTCATCCTCCCCCTTCTTCTTTTCATCCTTGTCTTCCTTCTGCAGAAAAAGAGGGGCTCATGAGAGTCAGGACTAAGGTTGATTACCCCCATGGTTGGATCCCTTCTCCCAGGTCTTCCCAGCTTGCCTCCTGCTGTTTCTTCCGTTCCTCTTTCTCTTTCTCCTTGACTGGATCAGGCACTGGGATGTCCAACGGGGCCTTCAGATTGCTCAGGTTGGCTTCATTGAGAGCTGGCTCCTGGTGTAGGGTGGGAGGAGGGCTGGAGGTGAGGGGGTTCCTTTCACCTCACTCTCACAGCCCCTGACCCTTCTCTTGGCCTTTACTCCCTAGCTCCCTGCCTAGCCGCGGTACCTTTAAAAATGCATCCAGCTCAGAAATCTTCTTGGGGAAATAGCTCCCGAGCAGGTTCTCTGTCTGTGTGTGAGGTGGGATGGAGAAGGATGGGAGTCAGCATCAAATGCCCATCCTAGGTGGTGAGGCAGCGTTGAGACGTAGGAGTTGGGCAGGGGTGGGGCCGCTGATGGGGCATGTCTTACCTTGGTACAGAGGTCTTCACGAAACACATCCACCTGTGGGGCACATGCATCCCTTCAGAAACTTGGCTTTAAGGCCAGTTCATTTGAGGACAGTTCCCTTAGGGTTATGTAGGGCCTGACCTGGGGAAGGGTGGAGGGGATCCCTCTAAGGCCAGACCTGAAGAAAGCGAGATGGATGCCTGTGGGGTGGGTTGGGGTGGTGGAGGAGTGGAACTCTGCAGACCTGGATCTACGGAGAGTGGAATGGGTATCCCTAGGGCTGGATACGGGGGATGAGAACATTCCTGGCAGTGAAGGGCCAGTGGTTCACGTGAGAACAGATCCCTGGGGTCGCCTGGCAGGTGTGAGGAGGGGTGCTGAGAGCCCTCTGCGAGCAGGACAGGGACGCGGTGGGCCCCGGGACCCTCCCTAAGGGAAAGGCCACGAGGTAGCTGGGGCAGTCCCGCATCCAGTCTGTGTGTGGCCCCGGCTCCAGGCCAGCGGAGTTCCCCTCCACGCCAGCTCTCCGCTTCACCTCACCCCACAGAACCACGGCCGCCTCGCCTGTCCCCGCAGGCAGCAGTCACCGCCCTCCCCGGGGCGCAGGTGCTCCGGGAGCGCCAGCTCGGCGGACTGCCCCTGACTTGTGTGGGAGTCTGGGGGGCGGGTCGGGGATGCCCCCGGCCGCTCGAGCCACGCCTCCCCAGTGGGCCCTTTCTAGACCCCGCGGCGCTCACCTTGGCTTGGGCCTCGGGCTGGACCCTGAGCGTGGCCATGACCGGGACGGGGGGCCTAGCGCCGCACGAGGAACGGAGTGGGCACCGTGAAGGGAAAGCGAAAGCGGCGCTCGCACCACTCACGGCCTTCCTGGGTAGTGGGGCGGGGAAGGCTGGAGGAGGCGGGGTCAGCCCTGCCAGGGAGAGGGGCAGTGCAGCAGAGGAGGGCGGCGGGTGCGGCTCCCCCTAGCGCGCACAGGCTGCCTCGCGAGGGCCGGTTTCCAGCCTCCCCACCCCCGCCGGCCGGGTCCCCGCCTCCCTCCTCCCGCCTCCCGCCTCCCGCCTCTCGCCTCTCGCCACTCGCCGCCCGCCGTCCGAGAACGCCGGGTCCTCCCATCGTCTAGTCTAAGCCAGTCTCTCCGCGCCCCGCCCTCCACCTTCCGCCTCCCAACTGGCTCCCCACCTGCTCTCTTCTTCCCCTGCTCCGCCTGGGACAGATAAGTCTTACTTAGGGCTCTTCTGTCTTTCCCCAGAGATGGAATAAGACCTGGCCTCTCTTTCCTAGCCTTGCTAGCGTGGGCCCCTGGCTCTGCCGACATCCTCCGCACCTGTAGCAACACCGGCACCAGAGCCGACAGCATCCCTATCCAAGCCCGGACCAGCTCTCTCCTGGACCACCGCGGCATATGCCATTCTACAACCCACTCTCACAGAGCAGCGGGTTCATGCCTCTGTCTGGCTTAAAACCCTTTCTCAGCTGCCTGTTGACCTTAGAATGAAATCCAAAAGGCTGTTGCAGCTGTCTCCCCTTTAAGTTCACTTTCTACTACTTGCCCCTTCATTCATTACACTTGCAAATACTCGGGCTATTTGTTTCCCAAATGTGTCATGTTCATTCCTGCCTCAGGGCCTTTGCCCTTGCTAATAATCCCTTTGTCTAAAACACACTTACCCTGGGTGTTGTCATTCGGTTCTCAGTTTAGATGTCACCTCTTCAGAGACAACTATTTTCATCATCCTCTATAAGGAACCTCCCTCCAAATGCATTACAAATCAGCCTGTTTTAGTACATTTATAGCATTTATCTCTGATATTAGCCCGGTTTTTCTTTTTTTCCCCCAGGATAATTCACTGATTTAAACCAGGTTTTGGCAAACTGTGTGTGTGTGTGTGTGTGTGTGTGTGTGTGTGTGTGTGTGTGTGTTGGGGGACAGAGTCTCACTCTGTCGCCCAGGGTGGAGTGCAGTGGCACGATCTCAGCTTACTGCAACCTCCGCCTGCTGGGTTCAAGCGATTCTCCTGCTTCAGCCTTCGCAATAGCTGGGACTACAGGCGCGTCCCACCACGCTCGGCTATTTTTGTATTTTTAGTAGAGATGGGGTTTCACCATGTTAGCCAGGATGGACTCGATATGCTGACCTCGTGATCCGCCCGCCTCGGCCTCCCAAAGTGCTGGGATTACAGGCATGAGCCACTGCGTCTGGCCAGCTTTTTCTATAAAGAGCCAGAGAGTAAATTGTAGGCTTTATGGGCCTTACAGTGTCTGTCTACTCAACTCTGCCATTGTAGCAGGAAAGCTGCCATATGTAAATGAATTAGTATGGTGAGATCAATAAAACTTTACAGACACTGGACTGAATTTCATGTAATTTTTTCCTGTAATAAAATATTCTTTTTCTTTTGCTTTTCCAACCATTAAAAAATGTAAAAACGGCCGGGCACAGTGGCTCATGCCTGTAATCTCAGCACTTTGGGAGGCCAAAGTGGGCAGATCACTTGAGGTCACGAGTTCGAGACCAGCCTGGCCAACATGGTGAAACCCTGTCCCTACTAAAAATACAAACACTAGACAGGTGTGGTGGTGGGGGCCTGTAATCCCAGCGACTCGGGAGGTTGAGGCAGGAGATCACTTGAACCTGGGAAGTGGAGGTTGCAGTGAGCCAAAATTGCACTCCAGCCTGGGCAACAGAGTGAGACTCTGTCTCAAAATATAATAATAATAATAATAAAAACGTAAACAACGTTTTACCTTTTTCTTTTTAAAAAGTTTTTGTAGAGACAGGGTCTCACTATCTTGCCCAGGCTAGTCTCAAACTCCTGGGCTCAAGTGATCCTCTTGCCTCAGCCTCCCAAAGTGCTGGGATTACACTGCTATCACCGCCAGGTCTCTGCCTTAAAATATATATATATACACACACACACACACACACACACACACACACATATATATATAATTATTTAATTATTAGCTCGCAGGTCATACAGAAACTGGCCACAGGAAGGTTTAGCCAAAGTTTGAGGAATTAGCCAAAGTTTGCTAATTCCTGGTTTAGAGGATAGATGATATACCCATATTGCCTA